ATCATCTTCATATCTACACATAACGAATATTACTAAGGAAGATTAAGAACATAGCTTGTTCTTCCTTCGTAACCGGACTCTATGCGCGCCTATATTCAAAGAGTGGACTACAAAGGACTCAACGAGAGTGCCACATCCGTGATCTACCACATGACCCAGAATATAGGATGTATCCCATAAGTAAACAACGTATAAGCACCACACTTACACAATGTTGACCACTCACCCATGGTACCTTAGAGTGAGCGCTATATGAACTTATGCATGAACATGATGATAATCCAACTATACTAAGTATATAATCAAAGTAGACGATGAACATTATAACAAAGAACATGAATAAGATGAATACTAATATTGTCATAACAATTGTAACTAGCATATAAAAATAATTGAGGTACAAAATAGAGGGGGTACAAAGATTATACCAAACCACGCTCTTGACAAGATTAGGAATCCAAGCGAAGCCTGCTTGCCTCCCTCTAGACCTAGCCTAACTAGCTATGCCCTAGAATATGGTGGAGCTCTAAGGATGATTAGGGTTTCTATCTTCTCAAATGACTTATGATTATGCCTGGGGGTGGTAACGGCTGGTATATATAACCCGAGCATCCAACGTGAGCCATTGGATCAAACCGACTTAAAGAATGGTGTAAATGCAACCTAGGAGGCGGTGGAGAACCGACATTCGAAGGAGGGGCTGATAGGTGGGCCCAGGAGATCGAGCGGACTGCAGGTGGGGATGGCTAGCCCCACCTGGCAGCCTCTACCTCTGCCTCGGTGCGAAGTCCTCTCGAGTCTCCTAGAACCTTCTAGTGTCCGTTTCACTGCAGATAAGCGTGATTGAATCTGACATATAGGTCCACCTTGATGGTTTTCTGAATAAACCTTGTAGAAAATATAGATTCACCAAAACTCATGGAATTTGTTAGTTTAAACCCCAAGACCTTCGTTGGTGATTATTTTTATGCCCTTATACATGTTATATTGATGGTTTATAATGGTTATTAACTACCGTCAACACTAATACCCCCTAGAGTATGTCCTGAATTCTCGCCAGGACTTCATCCTCCAACAATTCTTTAGTCGTCACCCTGGCCTGATATACTCGAAGACGTAATTCACCCTCTCCTGGAGTGGTTGCACCCGACGCCTAATAAAGCTGGCGACTACTCCAACACCATTTAGGCCCTAGTCCTTCATAGCCGAGAGCTATTTAAGGAATGGACGAATTCCTTCAAGCTCCGTCGCATTCATAGTTTCCTTATCCTAGCGGGCATTGGGCACTGGTGCGGCGTTGCTGTGTACCTCCAGCGGTGGCCACATATTCCCCGTGTAAAACCACTCATCCTCCAGTTCTTCATAGAATCAACCAAGGTGTAGTGAGATATTCATTTTTCTTCCCCAACCAAAATTGAATACCGGCGCCCCCAAAACACTGGGATTTGCCGTGTCTGGATGCGGTTTTAGCTTAAAGAAATAACGAAACAGAGTGATGGAGGGGGATGCCAATAAAAGTTTCACAAAGATGGACAACGATTGACAAATGCAAGATGAAATTTTGGTTTAGATGGTTCAGGGTTATGCCATAGTAGTGCAAAAACCCATGCATAAATGGACAAGATGGCAACCCTAGCCCATGATGGATGAACGACATAAAGAGAACAATCTCACCTGGCTCAAGGTTTGGAATACGGTGCTCTCTAGGCGCCCTCCATTCGCCAAGCTTCTGGTCCGGCAAGTAGCCTTGGTCGTGGAGCTTCTAGAGGTGCTTCGGCTTCGTGTTCGGCGCCAACCAGATCTAGGCGGTGGCAACCATCACTGGCACTTCTAGCGCCCTCTTCTCGACATTCTTCTTAGTGGCGGCGCTTGAGTTCTTGGCCTTACCCATCAAGCAGAGCTTTTTACAGATCTAGGGTTTGTGAGAGCAAGATTGCAAAGCGCTCACAGTTGCTCTGGGGCTAAGGCACAAAGCGAATGGAGCAGGGGGAGATCATGCTCAGGAATGGCTCCCTTTTTTATACAGGGTTTACACCGTGTTGTGGCCCGATAATCATGCCAACAGGTGCAGCATTTTGGTTCCCCTTCCATTTTAATGCGGCTGCGTAGTTTGAAATGATGGTTGGATGCCTTTTCATGATTTTAGATGTGTCACACTGTGCTCAGATTTATCCTTTGAGTTTATACCTACCGGGTACCTACCACGATACAACCATTTGACTACATGGCCACATCTTGACATACTCGGACGGTTCATGCAGTACTTGGATAATTGCTCGATAGAATGAGTTAAAGCAACATAATACTTGGATGAAGAATTTTTTCAACAATAGTTCTCTGGATATAGGGTTGGATGCTTTACAAGCTTCTGACTACTCGGTTTTAGTAACCATTTTCACAAATCAAAGCTCCTACTTACTACTCGGTAGGACACATTCGCCTCGCTGCCACAGTTTTCATTATGACAACACAGTGCATTCAAGACTGGAGTCAGTAGTACAAAACTTCCTAGTCTACCGGATTTGGGCAGCAACAACGCTTCTTCCGCATCTCTGTCTACCCAAGCCGACTTCGCTACCACCATTAGGATCCAACAGCTAATCATCAATGGACAGACATCGACAGGCACGCTCGAGGAACTGACATGGGACTGCTAGAGGAGGAAACCTGTCTCTCATCACAAGGCTTCTTCTACCTACCTTGCCAGGCCATTCTGTTTTGCACACCACTGTGAGACTAGCCTGCTTCTAGTCTCTATTACAAGACTTCTTCTAACTGCAATATGATCTACTACTACTACTACTACCAACAACGCCCGGAGGCTGCTCTACTTCACACACCACCATATTTGACTTCAAGCTACTTTGTTATTCCTCAACTGCTATGCAAGAGCTCGCTATACAGACTCAGAGCTACTTTGTTATTCCTCAACTACTATGTAGGAGCTCGCTAGGAGGGTTTTTATAGTCCAAACATGGTGTTGATGGACTGGGTTCATGAATAGTGGAGCCGATAATTCCTGCTGCTCAATATAGGTCTATTTACTGCGCTACAAGGGTACATTGGTCTCCCACTATACCTTTACAGTGCATCAAGACAGCGTGCGTGAAAAGCTACAATATACTCGAATGGTGTATTCAGAGCATATACTACTCTTATGATAGCTTGCATTTACTCTTCACGGGCGCTGAACATTGCATCACCTATTTTTTGACAAGTAGGCAGGCAATAATTTCTCTGGCATCCCTGAGTATATTCTTTTCAGATCCTAGTGCCGACTACTACTATTTGGACACAAACTTCTTCTAACTGCAATATGATCTACTACTACTACCAACAACGCTCGGGGCTGCTCTACTTCACACACCACCATATTCGACTTAGAGCTACTTTGTTATTCTTCAACTGCCATGCAAGAGCTCGCTATACAAACTCAGAGCTACTTTGTTATTCCTCAACTACTATGCAAGAGCTCGCCAAGAGGGTTTTTATAGTCTAAACATGGTGTTTATGGACTGAGTTCATGAATAGTGGAGCCGACAGTTCATGCTGCTCAGTATAGGTCTATTTACTGCGCTACAAGGGTACATTGGTCTCCCACTACACCTTTACAGTGCATCAAGACAGCGCACGTGAAAAGCTACAGTATACTCAGGTGGTGTATTCGGAGCATATACTACTCTTATGACAGCTTGCATTTACTCTTCACGGGCGTTGAACATTGCGTCACCTATTTTCTGACAAGTAGCCAGGCAATAATTTCTCTGGCATCCCTGAGTATATTCTTTTCAGATCCTAGCACCGACTACTACTACTCGGACATAGGCTCAGGGACTGCTGGATACATATCCTCATAGGATGATTTTTATTCTTTTCAAGAATTTACGGAAAAGACCCTTCAACTCTTTGTTCCAAATAACAAGAGACTCGGGGCTACACTCCGTGAGTGCACTTTTCGATAAAGTGCAGATCACCTGGAGTTCTCAGGAGCACTCTATGGTTTCTCTACAGAAAGTACTTGGATAATACTTGTTTCTACTCAGCAAAACCTAAAGGAACAAGAAGGCTTCCGAGTTCAACTATGAAACGCTTTGGGCTTGTCGATGCAGTATCGGGTCGACTCCTATGATGGGCCCGTGGCTGGCCCACAGTCTGTTTGAAGAACACGGTGTGAGGAGACGTGGACTTCAAGTCATCAAGGACCAACCTAGTCGGCTTACTATGAAAGCAAGATTCTATAATAAAATTGGAACTCCTCTGTTGTTACCGGCTATGGACTAGAAACGCTCCTTTACGCTCTCCCTGTATAAAGAGAGAGACGATACAACCCCTTGTAACCCTAACAATCATACAATCAATCCAACGCAAAAGACTCACGCCAACTAGACATAAATGCTATTACTCAGGGCGCGAACCAATATAAATCACCGTCTCTTTGCGTTGACCGTCGAGTTTCTGATACTCCATACTCTACGACGGGTGATACTCCATACTCTACGACGGGTTGCGTGATACTCCATGATGGATTGCCGGTCATCAAACACCAACAATGATACTCCTACAAGATCCAGACTGATTTCAACTCTCCTTTCTGATTTTCTTTTATGCAAAACTTCATTCTCATCCCATTTTGATTCTCATCCCATTTGGATTTCTTGTGAGACCATCTCTCCTTCCTGATTTTCTTCTATTATATGCAAAACTTCATTCTCATTCCATTTTGATTTCTTCTGAGACCATCTCTCCTTTCTAAATTCTGATCTTCTTTTATGCAAAACTTCATTTTCATTCCAAATGGTATCCGGACCAAATTCCGGTTCTACCATAGTAATAATTAATCTAAGTGCTCCTCTGAACTTCTTGATTCAGGGAGAGCACAGCAAAAAATAATTTTCGATGAAAAGAAGGGAAAAAAACCAATTAGTACACACCCGCGAAATCCTTTTGTGCACCATCCATCTTACTGTACTAGCACCAACGGGCAGGCAACTGCACAGAACCTAGGAGCGATTCCTCCTGCGGAGATCGACGACGACGACCGAGACGTTGTCGGAGCTGCGCCTCGCGAGGGCCAGCTTGGTGAGCAGCGCGGCGGCCTCGGCGCACCACTTGGCGCGGCCCCTGCGGAGGCAGGCGCGCGCCACCTCGCACGCGTCCTCGTTGCTGACCACGTCCCACAGCCCGTCGCTGGCCAGGATGAGGCACTCGTCGCCGTCGGACCGGTCCGTCACCGTCACCTCGGGCACGGACGACACGTACGGCTTGAGGTAGCCGTCCCCGATGGCGCGGGACATGGCGAGCACGCCCAGCACGCGCGCGCCCTCCCAGAAGATGACGCGCCCGCCCGCGGCCTCGATCCGCTCCAGCTCGTCGGGCCGGTCGGGCTTGTGGTCCGACGACAGCGGCAGCGGCGGCGCGCCGTCCCCGCCACGGCAGAGCACGGCGCGGCTGTCGCCGCAGTTGGCCACCACCACGCGGCGCTCCTCCACCACGGCCACCACGGCGGTGGACCCCACGTGGTCGCACTTGTGCGCGTCGCAGCGGCAGGCGCCGCTGGCCGCGGCGGCCGACATCACCTCGGCGTCCATCCGCGCGAAGCTGCGCTCCATCGCCGCAGTCCAGCAGGCCGCCGCGGAGCCACGTGCGTCATCGGCGACGACAGCGAGCTCCTCGGTGAGCAGCTCGTGCATCCGGTCCCGGCACGCCTCGGCCACGTGCGAGCAGCCGTGGCCGTCGAACACTCCGTAGAAGTCGCGCCTCCCGCCGTGGCCGTCGGCCTTGGCCTCCGCGAGGGCGAACGCCTCGCGCACGGACACGGCGTCCTCCATCTCCCTCCTGCGGCCGGCCACCGACGCCGCCCCGTGCTTCCGCGCCACGAGCAGCTCCCCGGCCTCGAGGCTCCGCTTCCTCGTGGCGTCGGCCGTGCCACCAGCGGCCGCCGCCGCGTGCTTCCACCTCCCGGCCTCCGCGGCCCGGCGCGGCCTCTCGGCGCGCGCCCGGGCCCTCGCCTCTGCCTCCGCCCCGACCACCGGTGCCGCCGTCGCCGCTGCGGCCGAGTCACAGCACACCTGCGCCATCGACATCAACCAACCACCTCCACCACCGCCTCCGCCACCCACACCCCACGGGAAGCTTCCACCGCCACGTGCACCTCAAGCAAGCAAGCTAATAATACGCCGGCGGCGAGAGGAGGGAGAGTTGAGAGAGGGGCCCGTGGTGCCGGGCGCCCCTTTTAAAGCCGCGCGGCGGGAGGCGGGGCGCGCGCGATCTCTGAGGCGGACCGGGTGGGCGCCCACCGCATCTGGGCCGTCCACGGGCTCACCTTGCACGACACGTTGCCGCCGCTCTTCAGCCCCGCCGCGACACGTGACGCGCGCCGGTCTGTTGGTCATAAGCACCCTGCATTATTCTTTTTCGGATGCGCACCATCGCACCAGACCGACGAACCACTGTGGGAGGGATGGCGGCCGGCGATTGGGCCACCGCATGGGTGCGTCCGTGTTCCGGGTCCGCGCACGGGATCTGGGTGCGGAGGCGGAGAACAAACAACGTGACGTGTGTCCTCTGCACGGCGGCGGCGGGGGTATTTTTCTGATTCCTTTGTTAAGGGCGCGTTTAGTTGATGAAATTTTTTGAATTTAGCTATTATAGTATTTTTGTTTGTATTTAATAATTAGTGTTTAATTATAGACTAATTATGTTCGAAAGTTTCGTCTCGCGATTTCTCATCCAACTGTGCAATTAGTTTTTTTTTTCGTCTATATTTAGTACTCCATGCATATGCCGTAAGATTCAATGTGATACTTTGGATCAAAATTTTTTGAACTGAACAGGGCCGGCAAAATGCCGCCCCGGCGAACGCACTTTCGGCTTTCCTCGCCCGGCCGCCCCTGCGTCCCGCCCGCTCCGTGCAGCCTCGTTTTGCCTTTCGACACGTCGCGCGGCGGGCACGTAGAGCGCATGGGGAAGTCATCGGCAGTGGGCGTCGCCGTCGCGGGGCCGATCGAGGTCGGGCGTCCCTTGCGCGCGGCAACGGGCACTACTGTGAAAGCGGAGAAAACCGTGCGTCCGGGGTGTCGTCGGTTTCGGGGTGATTGAGGTGGGAGACCTGACCTCACGGGGTTGGAGTCAGCGGCGACGCGGACAGCCGCGAGCCGGTGGGTCGGCGAGGGATGGACGGGAACGCAGACGCGGTGCCACGCAAGGACAAGCGTGGCTTCCGAAAGCTGGTGAATGCGTCGGGACAAGCGTGGCTAGAATCTACTAGTTTAACGGTTCGATGGTATAGTTAAGAACATTACATGGAGCACCAAGAGCATGCTAGTTGAACTCTATCTCTATGACACGCATCCGGGGGACGGATCCAAGGGTATTTCTAACTATTATCTGCTATTTTCACCGGTTTTAGCCCACAACGGCAAAAGGGGCACTGTATCTGCCTGGTGCCCAACGTTCCCGGCGCACAGGCCAACCCACTAGACCGCTTCTTGGTGCCCTTAGCCCTCACACCCTGACCCGCTGCTCCCATTGTCTTGACCACACGCGACTCTAACCCTAGGCGGCGGCGCGGTTTGGATGGTGGTGCATGCTACACGGGCCACGAGCATGACCTTCGTGGCTCCGCGCCTGACTGCACAACGGCAGGCGGCGGCAAGTGAGCTAGGAGGGTGGAGTGGAAGGCGGAGGGAGCGACTGAGGATTTACATGGTTGAGTTGTTGTATCTAGTATGCACCTACAATTTGCATGTAGAAAGCAAAGATTGGTTGAGGATTTGCTGATTTAGAGTCATGTAAATTCAATGATATTTGATTTATAACGCTATTGCTATTGGTATGCAAAATGAAGAATAAATTGGTTGGTTGAGGACTTCATGGGATAGAGCAACAAAGATAGGAAAGATGGAGTTAGGTTCTACATCAGTGCCGCAACTAGTTACCCTGGGGAGTGATGCCCAGCTTTATGAAAGTACACTCTATGTCCAATCTTTTGATACTTATTATATATCATAGATATTAGTATACTTTTTATATAAAATTGGCCAAACATTTGACTCATCACGAAATGACACGTGTATTTTGGAATGGGGGAGTATTTGACTATTTTTGTGACTTTAATTATTGATAGATGTCATGAATCTTCACTACCAATTCATAGTTACAACAGTAACGAATACAGACTGGAATGGCAAGAACTAGGATAGGGAAGCAAGGACAGCAAGGGGGTTCTTGGCAAAGGAGGAAGATGAATTCAATCTATTTTGTTCTAATCCGCTCCTCCCCATCCGACGACTCTGCTCTTGTAACGTTGCCGACGTGGTAACGTATATCTTCCCTTTCTTAGCCCGATGGACCCACTCTGTCAGCTCGGTCCAACACATTTCTCCCTTCAAATGCGGCCTTACTCTCAAGCCGCTCCAAACCATAAGCTTACCACCACCCATAAGATCTTGCATAGGTTGCCATGTTCATCTAAGTTGCTCTTCAGAGAAGCCTAAGATGTTGCACTGCCCAGTTCGTGTGGCACTAAACCGTGGCTTTAGGAAAAACTCAAGAATGCTTGGTCTAATCGAGCCATCAGATCTGCCAGGAGGACATCAAATCCGTTGCTTACCGCCATTAACGGTTGAGAAATCCTCTAACGTTGGAGATGAAACATCATGTGAACTGAGGTCCATCGCCACCGTCGTCGCATCTCTGCAAACTTTGGCAGCAGCGAGGCGGAATGGAGAGCCGTGGGGTTGCTGGTGGCATGGGATAGAGTTGTCAATACTAGGGATGAAACCGGAGTGGATACGAACGGATATCAGTGATCCTGCGTTCTATCCCATATTCTATATTCTATCCTATATTTTTCCTCGAATCTTATAGTCGGATACAGATCACGTCAGATATTGATACATATCTCATATATATATATATATATATATATATATATCAGAAATTTGATTTTGAGTATTCGAATTCAGGTATGGTACATATGTTAAATGTTCGGATTCAGATATAAACTATCCATATATGATTTTAACTCTTTTGAGATGGATAGATATCAGCCATATTCGCTTCGCTGAAAAGCCAAAATAAAAAATATTATTGGCTGATTTAAAGCCAACAGGTCCGAATATCTGTCCCGTCCTCATCCCTTATCTATAGTACAGCTGCTGCATGCAGCACTCCCAACAATTCCACGCAAGTGTATTGCTGAGCAGCCATGGCCGTAAAAATCTGTAGTGAACGGGTCCCAAAGTTTTGGAAGAAAATTACATGGACCCTAGGTCCAAAATATCATCACTAAGACCCCCGCTTCCATTGCTGCCACATGGTGTCTTTAGAGAATCAAACGTATTGGAGAAGAGGCTCCTCAGTGAATCTGCACAGCTTGAGTCCTTAACTCACGGAGGCAAGTGGTGTGGTGGGTCCATCGAATTTTCCTCCAAAGTTTTACCCAGCTGCTTCAAAGAATTTTATTACAGTTGCAAATGGACTATGAAATTCAGTACGTGTATATACATAATAATATGATATTGTCTTTTTTTTTACAATATGGCATTGTCTTTGTTACGGGCATGTGGACACCCTACGCGTCCGCGGCCCACATGCCCAGCTTCAGCACCCGATTTTTTTTTTTTTTTTTAGTCATTTTTTGAAAGATTTTACAAATACGCCCCAAACGATATCTTTAAAAAAATAGATCCTGACCTCGAGGTCTAGGGTCATTTTCTACGTGTCGTTGACGTGGCTACCTACGTGGCGCGAATGTGTCCTGAGCTCGACACCGAGCCCAACGGCTATGGCGGGGTCAGCGGTGTGTGTTACGATGATGGGAGACGGACAGACGGCGAGGGAGCGTGCGGCACAAGTGTCTTGGACGGGCGCGCGACGTGGTCGGCGATGGGGCGCAGGGCAGTGAGGCACAGCGCGGCAGCCGACGAGCGCAGCGGTGGGGGAAGGGGCGCGGACGAATGAGCGGCCATGCTGTTGCGTTGGTCGCCGGGCGATTGAAAGGTCTTAATGGCTAGAGGGGGTTGAATAGCCTATTAAAAATTTCTACAACAACACTAAGACAAGTAATTAGTTAATAAGATGACGAAGCAAATTTTACGCTAGCGCTAAACTTGGAGTTGCAAGCCACCTACCCAATTCTAATTTATATGATCTCTAGTGTATCAGACAAGAGCTATATCGCTAAATTACACTTAGGTGAACAAAACTAGCTAGATAACTACAACTAAAGAGCTATACAAGCTACAAGCACAACACAAAGTGAATACAAAGTCATGAGGGAGAAGGGTAGAAGTGATATACCACCGTGGCAAGTGATCGGTCAATGAATATCAATGAATACCGAGGAGAAAATCAAGACACAATGATTTTTCCTCCGAAGTTCACTTGTTTGCCGGCAAGCTAGTCCACATTGTGACGATACACTTACTTGGTGGTTCACGTGCTAATAGGCATCACACGCCTAACCCGCAACCGGGTGCCGCACAACCAACACAAGATGAGGATCAACAAGCCATGAGCAACCCACTAGAGTTGCCATTGGTGCTCCGCCAGGGAAGGCACAAGAACCCCTCACAATCACAATGATCGGAGCCGGAGACAATCTCCTTCCTCCGCTCGACAATCCTTCAATCACCGGGCCATCTAGGTGTCGACAAACACCAAAAGTAACAAGATCTCCACCAGCCCAAATCGCCCAACTAGTGCCACAAGATGCTAGAACACTAAGCAATGCACTAGAGGCTCTCCAATCTCACTCAAGATGATAAAATCAAGTGTGTAAGTGAGTGGAGTGGTGTGCTCAGCTCTCAAAGATGTATGCAGCCGTTAGAAGTGCCTAGAGAGTGGCCAAAGCCACCACTAGCTCTATTCATAAGCCCACAAGCAAATAGAGTCGTTACCCCTTTAGAGCAGCTTTTTGCGAGGGCACCGGACCCATCCCAACGGTCACTTTCCAATGGCTAAAAACTATCCATTGGGGTACCGGACAGAGTGGCAGTGGCACAGCCCCTAGGGTGGCGGTGACCACCCGGGCATCTGCCCGAATACCCCCTTCTCTGGACTTTTATGATGGTGCACCACC